CTTTTATTAAAATTTAAATAAGTTATGAAATTTAAAGAGAAAATTATTAAATCCAACATTAATTTTTCTTTTCAGTAAGACGTCGTTTGTTGTTCTCAATTAAAAAGGCACATTTAATAATTAATAGCTCGGAAGCTATTTTAATTTGAGAGATAAAAATACAAAAGGTTTTGCTCTGTGGATTTTCAGAAATATTAAAACTATACCTTGCTTCTTTTGTTTTTGGCTGTATAGAATAAGAGTCCCTGTTGTTACCTTCAAACAATTCTAGTACAGAACACTAATCAGACATTTCAGTGTACATTTAGTTCTCTAAGATAGTTTATTATACCAAAATCATATCAGAAAAAAATGCTTTCATTTTACAGCCCAGGTACACTGTGCTATATACAAAGATACAGGATTCATTACAAATATTTCTGATCTTCAAATATATATATATCCCATGAAACACTTGGCATAAGTTATCCCTACTTGTTTCTTTTTAAAATTATGAAACTCTTTTAGCAAAAACAAAACAAAAATATGTTTTAAATAAACCTTTATATATTTAGTTCTTATATGTGCCAAGCAATGTACATCAAGATAATAACTACATTTTATTCAGAACTTGATGTCAAAATGTCCACACCAAATCTGGCATATTAAAATAACTTGCAATTCTACAGCCCTCTATACAATTTCCCATTCCCAATGCACCCTCACACAGTGGTTTGCTCAATGTAACAAGAGTAAAGAACCAAGAGATCTCTGACTCCTTGATGCCTAGCATTCTAACAACCATCCTTGTAACAGAGGTCAGCTGGATAGGATACAAACAAACACGTTTTCTGCTTTTTTTTCTGTCCTTTTGTCCTCAAGTCCTTCACTGACCACTAAAAATGACATACCCAGAAATGTAATTCATTATGTAACTATTTTCCTTAAAAGCATATTCAGATGTATCTATTGTGTTAGTTCATACTTGTACTCAAAAGTCAAAAATCCTGTAACAAGTACCTTTCAAGTTGAATTTTCCTAAAGTCTATCTTTCAAAACATGAAGGAATATTTTCTTAGTACAGAAACATTTCTAGAACTACTGGAAAGTGTCTTCTAGACACATTAAATGACTAAAACAAAACCAGTAAACCAGTTGCCCTCAAGTTGACTCTGAGTCATAGTGACCCCATGAGTGTCAGAACAAAACTGTGCTCCACAGAGTTTCCAATGGATGATTTTGGGGGGAAGCAGGAGAAGGAGCCTCTGGGTAGATTCAGTGTCTAAATTTTCAATTAGCTTCCAAGAGTGTTAGCTGTTTGCACTATCCAGGAAGTTAAATTAAAACACAATTGAAAACTAATTATACTTGTATGCAATATACAATTAATTTACTTTTTCTGTTGTATTATAGAACATTATGCAGAAATGAAGAATTAAAACATATCTGTTTCAAATGTGAGCATTTATAAAACTTTCTTTAACCTATTTGAAAAAATCAAAATATTTTTCAAAGATAAAATGTTTCATTGGGCTTGAATTTTATAATTTGATCCCAATTTTTTAGTACTTGAAGGTTATTTAGTGACTTTGTTTTTAGAAAGCAGAATCTAAGCTACTATGTCCAGTAAAAATATATACACTAAATAAAATTCTACAGGCAGTACTATTGAAGAAGCTATTTAACTGATTTTATCATCATTTTCCTGCAGTTTGCAACACCATTCAAGAAAACAAACACATTATTATGCATTCAAACGTATGTGTAACAAACCATAAAGAGAATATAGAGGATAGTTTATTTTAATAAAGTCTTATAATGGTACAAATGCAGCTGTAAGTATTAAGTGTTGTCAAATTACTTCTGACTCATAGAGACCCTGTATAGGGTTCCCAAAGAGGAACTGGTGGGTTTGAACTGCTGACCTTGTAGTTCCCAGTCTAGTGCTATTCTTACAGTTCCACAACAGAAGTCCAGCTATAAGTATAACTAATAAAATAATGGGAGTGTGATAGCTCTATAGGATCAGCACTGAACTGTAAAGCACAAGGTCAATGGTTCAAGATCACCAGTCACTCCATGGGAGAAATATGAGGCTTCCTGCTCCAGTAAACATTTACAGCCTCAGAAATCTTATAGAGGGTGGCTATGAGTTGGAGCCAATTTGAGGGCACTTAAAAAACAACAACAAAATAATTAAATATGTCAACTATGTAACAGATCACTTCAAAATAAGTGGTGGTGGTGATGGTTAGGTGCCATGGAGTCGGTTCCGACTCATAGTGACCCTGTACAGGGTTTCCAAGGCTGTAAATCTTTACAGGAGCAGAAAGCCTCATCTTTCTCCCGCAAAACAGCTGGTAGTTTTGAACTGCTGACCTTGAGGCTCACATCCCGATTCGTAACCACTACACTACCAGAGCACCTTTCAAAATAAGTATACATGAGCAAATATTCTTCTAGAAGACTCGTAACTGTGCCTACAGTGATTTTCTCCTTCCTCGTCTTTAAATTCATTTACCTTAATGTAGAATTTCCCCAGGCTCCATGCTTGTCTGTGAGGATGTTGATAATTTTCTGGATTAGTTGAGTTGCTGTCACATGGTCTCGATATTTAGCTGCTCTTATCAATTGATCACACATCTTCTCATCTTCTCGTTTGTCTGCAGAATACTGGGCACACAGTGACTTTAAAAAAAGAAAAGGATGTATTAATACCATGAGGGAAAAGTTTAAAATGTATCATGAAGAAACTGTCAAATAAGTCAAGCCAAACAAACTTTAAAGCTAATTTTATAAACTGTGTCTGCTGAACTAAGATGTCGTGACATGTTTTCTCTGTATACGATCCAGTAAGAATTAATTTTTCTGAAGTCAATGATTAGATATACTCAGATGCAATCAACTTTTAAGCAGAGACATGAATAATAACAAGGAGCCAGTCATGTGAAGATACAGGTGCCTAGCATTATGAGCAGCATGTTATTATTGTTGGTAAGTGTCACTGAGTCAGTTCCAACAAACAATGACTCTATATACAATTTCCAATGAGCAGCTGGTGGGTTTGAACCACTGACGTTGTGGCTTGCAGTCCAGTGCTTATCCTATATCATTATACCAGGCGTCCCATGAGCAGCAGGCATAGAGAGCAGTTAGTTGCAAAGAACTTGGATCAAAATGAATAAAGTGAAGAATCACATTAAATGAGTCTGGATGGGCAGAGAGGGACCACCTCTAGAGATTTACTACACAATACCATTGTTTAGTAAAGGAACTCTGGTAGCGTAGTGGTTATGAATTCAGCTGCGAACCTTAAGGTCAGCAGTTCAAAACTACCAGCTGTTCCATGGGAGAAAGATGAGGCTTTCTGCTCCTGTAAAGATTTACAGCCTCGGAAACCCTGTACAGGGTCACTATGAGTTAGTACCAACTCCACAGCACATAACCACCACTACAACCACCATTGTTTAGCAGTATGCAGTTGATAATTTCAAGCGAGATTCAGAAGAGATTACAGAACATGGGATACCACAGAGGCTATAAGAAGATAAATTATGGATGACACTGCAGAAAATGAACATTTCAGTGCTCATGCAGAACTTGTACAGACCACAAGGAGTCATTTGGACAAAAACAAGGGTATACTGCTTGGTTTAAATACAAGAAAGGTGTAGGTCAGGGTTGTATGCTTTCACCATACTTATATAATCAGAAGAATAAGCAGTGGACTGCTACCCACAAGGTCAGTGGTTCAAACCCATCAGTCGCTCCTTGGAAACCCTATACAGGATTGCTACAAGTCATAATTACATCAGTGGTGTTTAACAACAACAACATTCAATTTGTATGCTGAGCATAAAACACGAGAAACCTGACTGTACAAGGAAGAATGTAGCATCGAGATTACATCAAGACTCATTAACAACCTGTGATATACATATGACACAAACTTGCTTGCTAAAAGCAAAGAGAACTTGTAGCACTTACTGATGAAGATCAAAGCCTTCATTAAGGATTATACCTAAATATAAAACAAAAATCCACATAACTGCGCCAATAAGCAACAACACAAAACACAAGAAAAGACTGACAACAAGAATTGCATTTTACATAGATCCACAGTCAACACCAATGGAAGCAGTGGTCAGGAAATCAGACATACTATATTGAGCAAATCTGTTGTAAAAGGTCTCTTAAAAAGGTGAAAAATCAAATGTTTCAATTACCACCTACGCATGTGAAAGCTGGTTAATGAATAAGAAAGACCAGAGACAATCTGATGCCTTTAAATATGGTGTTGGTGAAGAATAATAAATATCCCATGGCCAGCCAGAAGAATATACAAATCTGTTGGAAGAAATACAAAGGAGGATAGTAAGGCTTTGTCTCATGTCTTTGGACATGTTTATTGGAAAGGACAAATCCCTGGAGGACATAATGTTTCTTAAAGTAGAGAGTCAACGAGAAATTAGAAGACCTTCTATGAAATGGATTGACACAGTGGTTGCAACAATGGGCTCTAACACGGGATAATTTTGAGAAGGACCAGCTAGTTATTCATTCTGTCGTGAAAAGGGTTGCTAGTCACAAGTGACTTGACAGCACTTACAATAACAGTTATGAAAAGGCATGAAAGCAGCAGTCATGAAATAAGAAGACATATTATATTTGGGAAATCTGCTGCAAAATATTCTTTAAAAGGGTAAAAAGTAAAGTCACCTGGGGGAACCTAGGTGCACCTCGACCCATACCATGGTCTTTTCAAATGCTTCATATGTATGGGAAAGCTGGACAAAGAATAAGGAACACTGAAGATTTGATGCCATTGAATTACAGTGTTGATGAAGAATACTGAATATACCATGGATTGTCAGAAGCATGAATACATATGTCTTTAAAGAATAGACTCAAATGTAGCAACTATTATGAGGACAGTACAGAACTGGACAGCATTTTGGTCTGTTCTATGTAGGATTGCTAAGAGTTGGAACCAACTTGATGACACCTAACAACAACAAAGTTATGAAACAGTTAGATTTTATTTTAATGCAGTAGATACCATGAAAAGTTTTAAGTAATAGAATGATATGACTAATTTATATATTAAAATAACCACTACAGTTATTATTTCTATATTGGGTTTTGACAGGACAGGAGAAATTAAGGTAAAAGAGAAATTATCAGACTATTGCAGAGATCCAGAAAAGGGAGAATGGTAACTTGCGATAGTAAAGTCATATAGTTCTCAATACTTCCAGAAAATGGCAAAAAGTTTGGTCTCTTAAATTCTAGTTGTGCAAAATGAGCCAGCAGCAATACAATCACTTAAGAATTTATTAAAAATAAAGAGTCTAAGGCCACAATCCAAACGTACAAACTTATAAACTGGAATTAAATCTATAATCTATTTATGCATATACTAATGTTTGACGAGTATTAGCTGACACATCAATTTTGCAAAAAAAAAAAAAAATCAGATACACCTGAATTACAACTTTGCCAACTGTTTCTTTTTGTTTGAATTTAGATACTTGAAGTGTCATGTTTATGATACTGTACAAAGTAAATCATTGCTTCAAATAGGAAAACATAAAGGTTGATGTAAACTTGATTCTTATTCACCTACCTAGGTCTATTAGGTGCCACCTCTTGACCTTCAAAAATGAGTTACACTCATATACATATAAACACAACCACTGATAAGAAATAAACCTTTAGTCTTAAATATTATTAGTTTGTACAAGTGATACACATTGCGGTAGCTTGCCTCTCTTACTGTATAGCAAGGTGAAGAAATTACTAAAACACACATCCTGATCTGAGCAATAAAGGATGGCCCTGATTGTCCTAAACCAATATGGGTAATAATCCCATTCATATTGACACATTGTTTTAAGAAAGAACATTTCATCTAATAGTTGCAATAAAAGCTCGGAATTTATGTTGAATAGTTCCTCCCTTTTCTCAGGGTATAAAAGATTTAAGTACATAACTCCAAGAGTATTTAAAATTCTCTCTGTACCTTGAAGGAAGAAGTCAGTTTGAGGATAAAATCGAAATCCAAAGGCAACATAGCTATGAGAACTACAGAAAAATAGAGTGTATAACAGATGTAATCATGAATTTATCTATTAACCAAATCCTAAAGACCATTTTGCCTTCAGACTTTTTAGTTAAGAAACTCAATAAATTCTTATCGATTCTATGCCAGTATGAGTTTGGATTCCTGCTAGTTACAACCAAAAGAAACCCAACAGTTAAGTGTCTATGTACATGCACAGGAAATCAAATGTCTCTCTTAATATGCACAAAGCACTATGCTATAATGACCAAATGATGAATTTAATAGCCACAGCTATTTATAATCCCTGTTCCCTCTAGATCACCGAGTAAAGAGGTAAGAAAAATGTATCACTACCTACATATGAAGCTAAAAATAAGTTTTACTAAAAGGTACATATAAAATGCTAAGAAGGAAGGCAGGAAATGGTGGAATCTGAAAAGATAAGTTATTCTTGGGTGAAAATAAAGAAAACTGTATAAGAAAAGGCAAATGTATAAAACATGAATCAACTTCTTGGGAAGCAGTATGTTATTGCTGTTGAGTGCCATCGAGTCTGTTCTGACTCATGTCAACCCAGTATAGGGTTTACCAAAGGGTGTGGCTAGTGGGCTTGAATCACCAACCTTGTGGTTAGGAGTCCAGTGCTTACCCTACAGTGATATATCACGACTCTAAAGTTGTGCCCAATAAGAAAAGGCAAATGCAGAAAAACATGAAATCAACTTCAAGGCTGGATCAAATATAAAATATAACCTTCTAAAAGGTCACAGCCTTAAAAACCATACAGAGCAGTTCAACTGTGCATGAGCTGGCCGTGAATCTAAATTCATTGGATGGCAATTAATAACAATAACTAAAATATGAACCAGAAAAGTAACAGACTGAGGAGAATCTGGAATACAGAATGAAGATAAAGAAAAGCAACTGCGAATGGCAGTACGATTGTACTAAATAGAAAAACAAAACACAAGAACAGCAGATTAGAAGGCAAAACAAAAACTAGGAGGGTCCAGAGCAAGTTGATGGAGTAGATACACTGAACAGTCTTTCTGCAACAAAGATATGGAAGAACAACTGAAATTAATATAGATGGTGACCCTGGTGACCTGAACTTCAGAAAATAAAACAAAGCGATGGAGTGAGCACTGATTGGAAGAGGAAGCTGAACAGGATCAGCAAGAGGGAAGAAAAAGAGACGGGCTGTCAGCTGGCGTGGAGCAGTACAGTCATGTTGAGCTTTTACACGCTTTTGCTAACAATACAGGGGTCTGACTCAGCTGGGGGTGGGAGACAAGGGAGCTGCAGTCCTCCCTTATTACCTTGCTCTCCTGGCAGCCATGGCATGGCCAGTTCTGTCACTGCCAATGCAGCAGACCATTGCATCCAATCATGCACAGCATTTGCCTGTGGTCCAGCGCCAGGCATGCCATCCCTTCGTCTGGAGGAAAATGAACTCTCCCTGATGTACACTATTCAAACAGCAGAGAACTGTGTTCAGACTTCCAGTCTCTATCACTAGAAGATAGGTGGTGAGTGCCTAAGAACATACCAACCTACAATCATCACTTAAATAAAAATAAACAACACTACAGGGTCTCGAGAAAACAAGCAATTTAGACTTACA